GCACTTGAGCGGGTGTGCTTATCATGTGCCAGCATGTGTGCAGTGCTGCGCGAATACATTTGAGCGGGTGTGCTTATCATGTGCCAGCATGTGTGCTCTGCTATGCGAATGCACTCGAGCGTGTGTGCTTATCATGTGGCAGCATGTGTGCAGCGCTATGCGAATGCACTTGAGCGGGTGTGCTTATCATGTGATACACTTGAGCGGGTGTGCTTATCATGTGCCAGCATGTGTGCTGTGCTGTGCGAATGCACTTGAGCGGGTGTGCTTGCTATGCGACTGCACTTGAGCGGGTGTGCTTATCCTGTGCCAGCATGTGCGCAGTGCTACGCGAATACTTCGCGAATGCACTTGAGCGGGTGTGCTTATCATGCGCCAGCATGTATGCAGTGCTAGGCGAGTGCACTTCAGCGGGTGTGCTTGTCATGCGCCAGCATGTGCGCAGTGCCATGCGAATGCACTTGAGCGGGTGTGTTTATCGCGTGCCAGCATGTGTGCTCTGCTATGCGAATGCACTTGAGCGGCTGTGCGTATCATGTGCCAGCATGTGTGCTCTGCAATGCGAATGCATTGAGCGGGTGTGCTTTTCATGTGCCAGCATGTGTGCAGTGCTACGCGAACACACTTGAGCGGGTGTGCTTACCATATGCCAGCATGTGCGCAGTGCTATGCGAATGCACGTGAGCGGGTGTGCCTATTATGTGCCAGCATGCGTGCAGTGCTAGGCGAGTACACTACAGCGGGTGTGCTTATCATGTGCCAGCATGTGCGCAGTGCCATGCGAATGCACTTGAGCGGGTGTGCTTATCACATGTGCCAGCATGTGTGCTCTGCTATGCGAATGCACTTGAGCGGGTGTGCTTATCATGTGCCAGCATGTGTGTAGTGCTAGGCGAACACACTTGATCGTGTGTCCTTATCATGTGCCAGCATGTGTGCAGTGCTATGCGAATGCACTTGAGCGGGTGTGCTTATCATGTGCCAGCATGTGTGCAGTGCTAGGCGAATACACGTGTTCGTGTGCGCTTATCATGTGCCAGGATGCGCGCAGTGCTATGCGAATACACTTGAGCGGGTGTGCTTATCATGTGATACACTTGAGCGGGTGTGCTGATCATGTGCCAGCATGTGTGCAGTGCTATGCGAATGCACTTGAGCGGGTGTGCTTATCATGTGCCAGCATGTGTGCAGTGCTAGACGAACACACTTGATCGTGTGTGCTTATCATGTGCCAGGATGTGCGCAGAGCTATGCGAATACACTTGAGCGGGTGTGCTTATCATGTGATACACTTGAGCGGGTGTGCTGATCATGTGCCAGCATGTGTGCAGTGCTGTGCGAATGTGCACTTGAGCGGGTGTGCTTTTCATGTGCCAGAACGTGTGCAGTGCTATGCGAATGCACTTGAGCGGGCGTGCTTATCATGTGCCAGCATGTGTGCAGTGCTATACGACTGCACAAGAGCGGGTGTGCTTATCATGTGCCAGCATGTGTGCAGTGCTACGCGAATATATTGAGCGGGTGTGCTTATCATGTGCCAGCATGTGTGCAGTGCTACGCAAATGCACTTGAGCGGGTTTTTTTCTCATGTGCCAGCATGTGCGCAGTGCTATGCGAACGCACTTGAGCGGGTGTGCTTATCATGTGCCAGCATGTGCGCAGTGCTACGCGAATATATTGAGCGGCTGTGCTTATCATGTGCCAGCATGTGCGCAGTGCTATGGAAATACGCTTGAGCGGGTGTGCTTATCATGTGCCAGCATGTACGCAGTGCTGCGCGCATACACTGGAGCGGGTGTGCTTATCATGCGCCAGCATGTGTGCAGTGCTATGCGAATGCACTTGAGCGGGTGTGCTTATTATGTGACAGCATGTGTGCAGTGTTACATGAATGCACTTGAGCGGGTGTGCGTATCATGTGCCAGCATGTGTGCTGCGGTATGCGAATGGACTTGAGCGGGTGTGCTTGCTATGCGAGTGCACTTGAGCGGGCGTGCTTATCATGTGCCAGCATGCGTGCAGTGCTACGGGAATACACTTGAGCGGGTGCGTTATCATGCGCCAGCATGTGTGCTCTGCTACGCGAATGCACTTGAGCGTGTGTGCTTATCGTGTGCCAGCATGTGTGCAGTGCTATGCGAATGCACTTGCGCGAGTGTGCTTATCATGTGATATACTTGAGCGGGTGTGCTTATCATGCGCCAGCATGTGTGCTTGCTATGCGACTGCACTTGAGCGGGTGTGCTTATCATGTGCCAGCATGTGCGCAGTGCTTTGCGAACGCACTTGAGCGGGTGTGCTTATCATGTGATACACTTGAGCGTGTGTGCCTATCATGTGCCAGCATGTGTGCAGTGCTATGCGAATGCACTTGAGCGGGTGCGCTTATCATGTGCCAGCATGTGCGCAGTGCTAAGCGAATATATTGAGCGAACCCGCTCAAGTCTTGAGCGGGTGCGCTTATCATGCGCCAGCATGTGTGCATTGCTAGGCGAATACACTGGAGCGGGTGCGCTCATCATGTGCCGGCATGTGTGCAGTGCTACGCGAATACACTTGAGGGGGCGTGCTTATCATGCGCCCGCATAAGTGCAGTGCTAGACGAATACACTGGAGCGGGACTGCTTATCATGTTCCAGCATGTGTGCAGCGCTGGGCGAATACACTGGAGCGGGTGCGCTTATCACGCGCCAGCATGCGCGCAGTGCCAGGCCAGTACACTTGAGCGAGTGTGCTTATCATATTAATATGCCAGCATGTGTGCAGTGCTAGGCCAGTACACTTGAGCAGGCGCGCTTATCATGTGTCAGCATGTGTGCCGTGCTACGCGAGTACACTTGAGCGGGTGCACTTATCATGTGCCAGCATGTGCGCGGTGCTACGCGAACGCACTTGAGCAGGTGCTCTTATCATGTGCCGGCATGTGTGCAGTGCTACGCGAATAGATTGAGCGGGCGCGCTTATCATGTGCCAGCATATGTGCAGTGGAATGCGCTTGAGCGGGTGTGTTTATCACGCGCCAGCATGTGTGCATTGCTAGGCAAATACACTGGAGCGGGGGCGCTTATCATGTGCTAGCACGCGTGCAGTGCTAGGCGAGTACACTGGAGCGAGTGCGCATATCATCTGCCAGCATGTGCGCAGTGCTAGGCGGGTACACTTGGGCGGGTGTGCTTATCATCTGCCAGCATGTGTGTGCAGTACTTGGCGATTGTGCTGGAGCGCGTGTGCTTATCATGTGCCAGCATGTGTGCAGCGCTACACGCATGCACTTGAGCGGGTGTGCTTATCATTTGGCAGCATGTGCGCAGTGCTACGCGAATACACTTCAGCGGGCGTGCTTATCATTTGGCAGCATGTGTGCATTGCTAGGCGAATGCGCTGGAGCGGGTGCGCTTATCATATGCCAGCATGTGTGCAGTGCTAGGCGAGTACACTGGAGCGGGCGCGCTTATCATGTGCCAGCATGTGCGCAGTGCGAGGCCAGTACACTTGAGCGGGCGCGCGTATCATCTGTTAGCCTGTGTGCAGTGCTTGGCGAATATGTCATGTGCCAGCGTGCGTGCAGTGCTACACGCATGCACTTGAGCGGGTGCGCTTGTAATGCGCCAGCATATGTGCAGTGGAATACAACCCGCTCAAGTCTTGAGCGGGTGCGCTTATCATGCGCCAGCATGTGTGCATTGCTAGGCGAATACACTGGAGCGGGTGCGCTTATCATGTGCCGGCATGTGTGCAGTGCTACGCGAATACACTTGAGGGGGCGTGCTTATCATGCGCCCGCATAAGTGCGGTGCTAGACGAATACACTGGAGCGGGACTGCTTATCATGTTCCAGCATGTGTGCAGCGCTGGGCGAATACACTGGAGCGGGTGCGCTTATCACGCGCCAGCATGCGCGCAGTGCTAGGCCAGTACACTTGAGCGAGTGTGCTTATCATATTAATATGCCAGCATGTGTGCAGCGCTAGGCCAGTACACTTGAGCAGGCGCGCTTATACCATGTGTCAGCATGTGTGCAGTGCTACGCGAGTACACTTGAGCGGGTGTGCTTATCATGTGCCAGCATGTGCGCAGTGCTATGCGAATGCACTTGAGCAGGTGCGCTCATCATGTGCCGGCATGTGCGCAGTGCTACGCGAACTGAGCGGGTGCGCTTATCATGTCCCAGCATATGCGCAGTGGAATACGCTTGAGCGGGTGTGCCTATCATGTGCCAGCATGTTTGCAGTGCGTGGCGAATACACTGGAGCGGGTGCGCTTTTCATGTGCCAGCATGTGCGCAGTGCTACACGCATGCATTTGAGCGGGTGTGTTTATCATGTGCCAGCATATGTGCAGTGGAATACACTTGAGCGGGTGCGCATAAGATGTGCCAGCATGTGCGCAGTGCTATGCGAATGCACTTGCGCAGGTGCGCTTATCATGTGCCGGCATGTGCGCAGTGCTACGCGAAGAAATTGAGCGGGCGCGCTCATCACGGCGCCGCCGTGTTGTTGGGTTGTCTTGGCTTGGCAGGTTCTGGGTGATTTTGTTTGAGGCTGTCTGCTTTCTGTTTGCGGGGTTTTTGTTTCGGTCGCAGGCTTTGGACCGCGGCTGTGCATGTAAGCAGGGCATCCCGCACTTCAAGACCAAGCATGCTGGCCTTGAAGGCAGCGCATCCTGCGTTGGACCGCAGGGCATCCTGCACTTAGGCAGGGCATCTTGCACTTCAAGACCAAGAATCCTGTTCTTGAAGGCAAGGCATCCTGCAGTAGAGTGGGCATGAGCAGGGCATCCTGCGTGATGGGCTGAGAGACGAACTGCGAGACAAGCCGCGGCTTGTTGTAGCCGCAAGGCACAAAAAGGACAATCACGCAGGCCTTGTTTTGCGACGCGTGCCGCGCGTGGCCGTCTGGTTCTGATCTCATAATCTCATCATGAACGTTGTAGCGAACTACGCTACAGAGCGCTCATCACACCCCATCTCATACGACTGCCTCACCGGTCAGCCTCACCGGTCAGCTGCTAGATTTGGCCGAAGAAGCGGACGCACGCGTCTCCACCACCCATGCTTGCAAGAGCTGGTTTGCGAGCGCCTTGGTGGGAGCGCTAGTGGTCTTGTGCTTGAGGCCAAGGATCATCTTTCCGAGCCCGTGCTCCTTGGCTTCTTGGACTGTCACAGCATGCTTGATGCAAAGATGCATTCCTGAAAAGTTGCTGTGGAAATCCTTTGCTCCGAGCTTGTCCCTGATTGTCTCCAAGCTTAGCGCGCGGGGATCCTTGTTCTTTCCCGCCGCTAGCTCCTGCTTGGTCGGTGTCGTTTCCATAGCTGCTTGCGCTTCACCCTTGTCGGTCTTTCGTCGCTTGTTGTACTTCTCAGAAGCTTCTGCGCAGATCGTGGCCATGCGCTTCCAGGCAGCGGCTGATGGAATGGCAGCTCGGCTGTATTTTTTCCTGGTCAGCTTGACACAGGCTGAAGGGGGCTGTTTAGGAGCATCTTTCCTGGTAAAGTCAATCAGGTCCTGGAAGTAGTCGTTGTGGTGGCCCAGAAGGAAAGCTGCGAAAGCCATGTGGCTGCATCTCGAAGTCTTCGCAAAGTAGAGACAGCTGCATCGGAGACGGTCGAGGACTTCTTCAGGCCCAGCAACTAGCGTGACTACACACACGTTGGCCAAGATTTCCTTGACTTTGGTGAGGGACAAGCGCCCCGCCTCTTCGTGCCACATGCCGGGCGACTTCTCCAAGTGCTTCTGCACCTGCATGCAAGCATCTTCCGCTGGGAAGGGGGGGCCTACTATCCCGCAAAGACAACTTCTGTGGGGTCACACAAGTGCTTTCTACAGACAGAAGTGCAGCCGAAGGACGTCTGCCACGGAAGAGTCGCAGAGCCGCAGCAGGGACACCATGCAGCAAGCCACATCATCGTCCACCACCATGGAGGCATTTGTGACTGGGAGCACAAATGCTTGACGGACGTCGCCGACCTCACCAATATCAAACTCGAAGCTCTTCGTGTTGCCGGGGCAAGATTGCCACAGCAAGCGTGCGCACGGCAGCCTCATTTGGTGATCGTCAAGGACTTTAACCCTTTCCGTGAAGATGGCTTCGCCGCTGACCAGGCGGCTAGAGATACCGCCCAGCTTGAGCTTGAGCTGCTTCGCGGCGGCGTCATCCGCGCCCAACTTTGCCTGACGAGGCCGCAGGGGCGCACCAAAGTCGACTGGTCGTTGCGGCGCCGCACGCTGCGCACTACCCTACAAATCGCTAAACGATACTTCCAACCCGAGCGAAAACACGTGGAACAGTGACAGCGCCCACCAGAGCTCACAGCGGAACCCTTGGCGCAATCCCACGCCTCCGTAGCTTTGAGGATGTGGTTCAAAGCATCTGTAGCAGGCATTTTTGCCACGTTGCCAGGCAAGAGCTTCTTCATGTGATGCACAGCGCAAACTGCATGTTTGCCGCCACCATTGCCCGCACCTCTTTCTTGGAGCCGGCGCGCCTCATGATGGATGACACCTGGTGTCGGACATCTAAGACGAACACAGTCTTGGGGAACGCCTTTCGCAAGGCGTTTTGCCCACCTAAGCTTTCGTCAGCGTGAACCTGGTGAAGAAACTGACTCAAGTCATTGTTCTTCGAGGAGTGCCATTCCTTCATGAGGTGCAGCACCGTGAGCATGTGCTCTTGCCCTTCTTTGGGCACAAAGCCCAAGCCTACTTGCACCAAAGTGGTTCGAGGAATACCTTCGCGGTCGTACTTTTTCGCGCACAAGCAGAACTTCCACAGGCCCCAATCGCTGGAAAAGACCTTGTACGTGCAGTCATGCACGCCGACAAGGTAGTCATGGTCTCCGCCGCGAGCTTGAGCAATCATCGCTGCAGCAGCCTCAGCTGCGCAGCTGCCCCAACTAGCCCGGCAGCCTATCCCACCGCCGAAGTGGAGAAAACAACCAGCTGAATCAAATGGCGTGGCAAAGAAACTGAAACAAAAGCAAGGGAGAACATCAGTCGCCTCCAACTTGCTTGTGGGTGCAGATTGCTTGTGGGTGCAAAGACAAGAACGTAGCGAATTTGAAGGCAGGAAGCGTCGGCGAACTTCTGGCAGGTGACGATGCCGCATCCGTCCTCGCGCACCACGGTGCTCCAGACGCTCCCATCCTCGTTGATCTTGCGCAAGTGCTCCAGCCACTGACCCAAGCCAGTGCCTCCACCGAACTCTGCCGACGCGCTCTTTTTCCGCACGGCTCGCCGGCGAGATTGCACCAAGGCTGCTGTGCAGGGCCAAGTCTCCATCTCTGCACCTTGCGCCGCCAGCTGCACCATGGCCTGCATTGGCGTGTTGGCTTCGGTCAATGCGTCTGCCTGCCGACGCACTGCCACTGCAGTGCCTCGAACCAGCCTGGGCTCCGTGGCGTGGTTGCCGTTGACGTGGACGATGTGCTCCTTGGCGCCGTCTTCTGTGAGTTGGAAGATATGACGCCACTTGCGAGGACAGTCTTTATGCGTTTGGCAATACGCATACACTGCCACGTGCTCACCAGCTGAGCGGCCAATCTTCATCTTTGCTTCCATGGACTGCTATGCGAGCCACGCGAGCACGGCGCGGCGGCACTCGGCGTGGCTGGTCACATCGAAGTCGGGAGACAGCCGGATGACGGCCTGCTGCTCCCACTCCATCTGATGGGGCTCGAAAGGACGACCTCGCTACCTTCCCCGCAGAGCCGGAAACGTATGCTCCACGACACTGCGTTGAAGCGTGGGAGAGCCTGGAGCAACTGAAAGCTTGGACCGGCCTTGAATTGCCGAACGTTCTGAGCAAGCACGGAAACTCAGCCTTGAAACAGCTGTCTCGCAAGCTGGAACACGTCGTGCGCAGGCAGAGTACACGGACTGCAGAAGCTTTTTTTTCCGCGACTCGCAGGCACGCCACGTGTCGCACCATATAGAATAACCGGAAGCATGCAAAACGCAGACATTGTGCTCGTTGGCAGCCGTGCCCATCAGCAGCCAAAGTGAAGCTTGCCTTCCGCAGCTGGGTCTGCTCACGCTGCCGGAAAGCACCAGAGAGGCACACGCAAATTTTCCATCGCCCTCTTGGTCTCCTCTGTCAAAACACGCTTTGCAAGCACTCGTTGCTGACGCCCTGCAGCCCCACCAGCCCGTCTTTGGTGGACATCAGCTATACCAAGCCCACGTGCCAGCTCGCAAACCTCATCGAACTGAGCAGCCGATAGATGACGAGGGCCCATGGCAGCCCGACCCAATCGAGCCGAGTTTCTCAAAGCGCTGAGCGTTACTTCCTGCTCGTCGGGAAGTGCTCTCATGACCTCCGCCAGCAAGCGCTCCGTGGATGTCATCGGCTCTCCGCATACTTTGCACTCCAGAACATCCCCAGAGCAGAAGATTTCCTGTGACTGCTTGGTCTGCAGCCGCATCTCCGTCTCAAAGGCAATGACGTTGAGAAAGAAGGCTGCCTCCGTGAACTTGACAAGCGCTCGCTGAACGCTTCGGACGCCGGCCTTGGTGTCCACAGCGTGCCTCTCGTCCACTAGATCTGACAGATCTTGCCGCAGGGGTCCCAGGGAAGCTGGCTCGTCGCACCACCTGAAGAAGTCGCAGCCATCCTCGGAGCCTGGCAAGGCACACCCTGACCGCACCCGCGGACCGTGCGCGTCAAACACAAAAACAGAGCAACATCCGAGCGACGCAAACGACCCTTGCAACTGTGTGACCAAGGCACTTGCTTCGGAGCAGCACCAGAACTGCCGCCCGACATTAGACTGCGCTCCCTTGCCTTTGCGCTTACAGACCTTCAACACAACCGGCAGATCGCACACGCACTGTGCGGGGACATCAGCTGGATTCCCCCTCGGGTCCATCGTGCGATGTTGAACCGCAGGCACGGCGCAGAGCGTGAACTGCAGGTAGCGCAAAGATTCCTCTTCCACGTGAGCCACGGCGATGTAGCTGCCAATCCATTGCGAGTGCTTGGAGACATAGTCCCTGACTGACACCCGCTGCTGCGTAGATAGTTTTTGCTCTTCGAAGAAATTGTGAACCTGAGCAAGGAGCTTGTTGGCCTCGTTGGTCAAGGACAACTTGCGCGCCGAGCTGGCGGGCCCAAAGATCCGCAGCGCGCTTTCTACGACTCCGCCAAGAAATTCGCGAATGGGCTGCAAGGCACCGATGTCATCCCAACGGCAAGCTTGCGCGTGGGCCACGGTGAAGCACCACCCCTGTAGAAAGCCCGTGGACCTCAGACGCACAGCCCAAGGCAGCCACAAGCGCTCGACTACATGTCAGGACTTTTTTTGGCAAAGACACGTCGCTCAAAAAAAAAAGCTCGCAAAATATTCAAGAGCGCCGCTCTCGCAACCGGAGCCTATCCATTTACCACTCGCTTCGTGTTTGCGCCGAACCATTTTACTATGGCAGAAGCCCCCAAAACCGCCAGCTGTTAGGGCAAAAACACCTTCATGACAATCGTCACACGCGACTGCTTGCGTAAGATACCAAACGGGTGGGCGCAAGCTGCGTGCCGTTGCTGCTTAACAATCGATGCCCAAGCTAAGCAGCGGACATGCCCTTCGCGCAAAAGAACTTTCTAATGACGTCCTCCTGCGCCATCATAGAGATTGCAGCCTGCGTCCGGTCAACCCTGTTGGACAAATCAGAGCTCAAGGCCTTGCCGAGGCCATTGCCAGTTCTGAGTGGAAGCAATGTACTTGGGGCTACGTGTTGCCCTGTGTTCGTAGCGCCAGAGCTAGCGTAACTTGCGTCGAAGAAGCTGACTAGCTCCTCTACAACTAAGTAGATATAGCCGGAGTTTTGCTTCAGCTGCTTCACGAAACCCGCAGTGCTTCCTCCGTCGAAAAGAAGTCTTTCACCCGCGCTTGCAGAGTTGTGCGCGAGGAAGGGCATGCGATCCATGACGTCGCAAAACACCCTGTGTATCAACTCCTGCTGCACGGGGGTCTTCTTCGACCCCGGGGCTGCAATGCCGATGCACGGCACCCTCGGGGTGACTGATAAAGTTGCCTTCAATTCCACTTGCATGTCAATATGCAAGCACGCAGCGAGCATTGTCGACCAAACCTGATGCACCAGCTTGTCCGGGAACCCTGTGCAGCGCGAGAGGCAGAGAAGGGCCACCTCAACCGGCAAAGCACTACAGCAAGATGGCAACAGGCGAGAGCCAGCGGCGTCCAAGTCTGCTTTCTCGGAGCCCAGACTGGCAATCTCAGAAAAGCACAAGGCTGCCGGGCGTGGGACAGCATGCGCTGGCCAGTTAGGAATCTTGGCGAAATCCTCCGCCGCAGGCCAGTCTGCTTGTGGCCCCCGTAGCCGTCGCAGGAGCGGCGCGGCGTACTCAGCGACGCATGCGTGCACTCCGTCCAAGTCAGCGCTGGCCAAGGGGTCCGGGGCGGCTTGTGCTGGGTCGACCTGGGTTGGGGAGAAGGGATGCCCTTCGCTGAAGCCAGTGCCACCCGGAGAGCCGCGAAAGCCCCCCACCAGTGGACGCAAGCGCGATGAGGCTTCTGGTTGCTGTGGACTCGGAGTGCGCTGCACTTGCGTTGGAGTCAATGGTGTGCGGCATGGGCTACGCGTCCGATCCCGCTCCTGGGACATCGCGACAAATGACTTCGCTGGCATTCAGCTTGGCAACATGAGCTGGAACAGTTGGCACTACTGCCTATCTCCAATCAAGCCTTTGAGCATGGCGATGTAATGTGCCCTGCGCTAACAAGCCTGGA